TGCATTCAGACACTGGCCAGTGCATTCAGACACTGGTGAAGACTACTCCTAGACCCACGTAAGAGCTCTGTGAAGCATTTGCAGGGCCTTCTACGTAAAAAGAGCAGTGCTTACAGGGCCGTTAGTTGTGTTGTGAGAACATGGGATAAAGTAATTCAGGCTCACCCACCTCAGTGAAGACCAAGACCTTATTCACTTCATCTGTAAAGCGGTATGGAAGCAGAACAACGCTTGCAAATGGATCCACCTTTTTCTAAAATTAAATAGAGAAAAAGTATTAAAATAAGAAAGAAATCATCACCTCAAGACAAGTTACTCCATTGCGTGGAGTTGGTCCCCTAAGTAGCAACCGTGCCCACAATTTCCTTGTGCAGAGGTCATAACAAGCTTGATGCACCAGTTTTGACTGCTTTTTTTATGCCCGGCATACACTCAAATCTAACCTTAAAAGACATTATTCACAGTGCAGTTTACCCAAGTGAAAGGGGCTGGGATCAGTGAGTCCAGTGTGAGATGGCTGCCACGCTCAGGTGCACTCAGGAACAACCCCTGAGGTGCTGTACTTACACCTCACCTAAACTACACTTCTGATACTATAGCCAACACAAAACCTCAGTGAGGGAGGCGATTCTCACCAAGCCTTCAGAACAGCACTCAGCCTCCAAAAGCAGGAGCAAGAGCTCTGCGTTTTCTTTAAGGATAAACTTATTTTCTAGTTTCTAAGGACCATGAGCCAGCACTGTGCCCTTGTGGCCAAGAAGACCAATGGCATCCTGGGGTGTATCAGGAGGGGGGTGGTTGTAGGGCAGAGAGGTTCTCCTCCCCCTCTGCTCTGCCCTGGTGAGACCACATCTGGAATATTGTGTCCAGTTCTGGGCCCCTCAGTTCAAGAAGGACAGGGAACTGCTGGAGAGAGTCCAGCGCAGGGCTACAAAGATGATGGAGGGAGTGGAGCATCTCCCTTATGCGGAAAGGCTGAGGGAGCTGGGGCTCTTTAGTTTGCAGAAGAGGAGACTGAGGGGAGACCTCATTCATGGTTATAAATATATAAACGGTGAGTGTCACGAGGACGGAGCCAGGCTCTTCTCAGTGACAAACAATGATAGGACAAGGGGTAACGGACACAAACTGGAACACAGGAGGTTCCACTGAAATTGGAGAAGAAACTTCTTCTCAGTGAGGGTGACAGAGCCCTGGCCCAGGCTGCCCAGAGAGGTTGTGGAGTCTCCTTCTCTGCAGACATTCAAAACCCGCCTGGACGCCTTCCTGTGTAACCTCATCTGGGTCTTCCTGCTCCGGCAGGGGGATTGGACTGGATGAGCTTTGGAGGTCCCTTCCAATCCCTAACGTTCTGGGATTCTGTGACCTGCAGTATACCAAAGAGATGTGTAGTTATACATGCAAAGAAACTGATTTTCAAGTGGCCTGTTTCCTACTTATGGGGGAAGCAGGAGTTTTAGGGAAAAAATAAACTGGTTTAGGCACTTTTAAACCAAAAACATAGGCAAACAAATGACAGCAAACTTTCAAGGAATATTAATTAAAAAAACCACCCCAACATCTAAGCAAGGTGAAGGGCAAAGATGGGAAGAAGGTCGTTTTCACACTTCTCCCTACAATAATAATCCGAGAACAAAACACACCCGTGATTTTGGGAGCATACCTCTAAGTGGAAACCCCAAACAGCTTGGTTTGATCAGTTCTGTTCAGACATGAGTTGTGGCCAGATAATAACCTATTTTCAGAGTCCTGAATGGCACGATCTTCATCGCAGGAATATGGGGGCTGTTTAATCAATGTTTACATGTAAGAGGGCAGAAAGGCACCTGCAAAAGGAGGAGCAGCTGAGGGAGCTGGGGCTCTTGAGCTTGGAGCAGAGGAGCCTGAGGGGTGCCCTCATTCCTGGGGATCCATTGGGAAAGGGCAGTGTCAGGAGGAAGGAGCCAGGCTCTGCTCTGGGATGTCCAATGGCAGGACAAGGGGCAATGGTCCCAAGCTGGAGCACAGGAGGTTCAAGCTGAAGATGAGGCCAAAGTTTGTGAGTGTGAGGGTTCTGGAGCATGGCCCAGGCTGCCCAGAGAGGTTGTGGAGTGTCCTTGTGTGGAGACCCCCAAAGCCCTGGCCGTGTTCCTGTGTGAGTGCTCTGGTGATCCTGCTGTGGCAGGGGTTGCACTGGGGGAGCTTTCCAGGTCCCTTCCAACTCCTCCTATTCTAAAGAGCACACCTCATTCTGACAACCAGAGAAGCTGCAGGAGGCAGCTGAAAAGGCCAACAGTGGGTTCTGCTCTGCACTTCAAACACAACCTTCCCACATTTAAATTTAAAAAAAAAAGGATCAAAATTTGTACCCACTCCCACCCTACCTTCTTCTGTAGTGCCATATCTAGGGATACGTTAATATAGATGTATTGCTTTGGAGAAGTGAAGTCTAGCTCCTGGTATTTCTTCAGCAAACCCAGAGCCTCTTCTACACCATAGGATGGCCGCTTATAAAGCCAGGCCAAGTAGACGTCATCCACGGGCTTGTCCACCAGCGGCCGCCTCCAGATGGCTGCTTTCTGTTTTGTTTCTTCCTTCTTGGACTTCTGTGAACCTTTTTTTGCAGTCCTAAGGCAAGCAAAACCATCATTAGATGGGGCTGGCACAGGTTCCAAGAGGAACAAAGCAGACAGCGTGGTACATCAGTACATTAGTGATAAGATAACAACGCATACTCTGGGCACCCCGAAATTCATCTCAGTTATTTACCTGAGATGACTTAAGACACAAATCAAAAGTCCCGAAGCTCCCCAAACGCAGTCACATTCGTGCAGCATGGAACCACATTAGTAACCCCCTACTGCACCAAACCAAACCCAGTTTGAGTCAACACCCCGACTTCTGGGGTCTTGTTTATTTGCTTGTGGGCAATTTGATTATTCATTTTTTCTTTTTACAGGTCAGGCTCTGTGCCCCAAATTCCTTCTAAATCCAGCAAATCCCATACACCTTCCTGGTAACCAGAGGGAGACACATGAGCTGTGTTTTCCTCCTCCTTACAGTTGATCACTGCAGTCCCACCTTTCAAAAAGGGCTGCTTCTTCCTTCCCTGCATCACTTTGCATGCAGTCAAACACCAGCCCCAGGCCTTGTTCTCCTGTTTTCAAAGGCTCTCCAGTCAAGGAAAAAAAAAGTATTACAGTAATAGCTACAGGTTCCATTCCTCTATCACTGCTCTTTACACAGAGTTCAGTTTACTTCTCCCACTTATGCTGTGGTATCAGACTTCAATAAATAAGAAATCAAAGCATAAAAAGCAACGTGAAACAAAACCAAGGGAACTATTTGAAAACAGCTCCATAAGCTCACTGGCTTTCATGCTGGCAGTACTCCTGATGCTGTAACCCTCCAAGAGCACACATCCAAAGCATCAAGTAAATCTTTCCTTGTAACTATTGCGTTCGTTATTTCAAAACCAATAGCAAACGCTCCCTGAGAGTCCAGCTTAGGCCTCTCTCCAGGCTGTTTCTCTAGGAGATAGCAATTTGGGATGCCACCAACACCAGCTCGGCTGTTAAGAGTCACACTGCAGACACCAAAACCACCACACGCTCCCCCACTACCACCACCAGGACACCCTCACACTTCAAACACCCCTGGACCACAGGAGCCGCTCCGGAGACCGGCAAAATCCCAGAATCTGAGGAGTTGGAAGGGACC